TCCAGACTCTCGTCTCCTTTGCAAAACTTCTTGAACCCCCACTGCACTGTACGTTTGTTAGCAGGTCCTGGGCCAAATGCGTTGTGGATGTTGCGAGTTGTCTCCGCTGCTTTATGAACCATTTTGAACTTGAGTAAGAAAATCCCTCAAATTTTCTTTTTGTCTAACATCATTTCCATAGTCTAAAATAAGTATCAAATAAACAGCAAGTAATAAGTCATTTGCAAAAAAACATAAAGCAAGAAATGCGCATTAAAATGACGTATAACATAACCACATCTAAGAATGTACTCCAATATCAACGGGCACATTGCAACAACGCTAAAACTGCAATTACTTTTGCATCGAGCTAGTAACAAGTAGCCCTGTGTACATCAACCTACACCCCTGCTGTTTCCTGAATATTTTCCCGTTATCGAAGAAATATTTTTCAAAGATAATTCACGAGCTCCAAGGAGCCACTCCGACGAGGGAGAAGACTTGGTGGCTGAACATTCTAGACTGGAGCCCGTGCATGCGAGGCCCCGTCGGGACAGGGGTGCGGGATACCACGCAGCTAGGAGGTCCTCGTCACGGGAAGGCACGATCGTGCAGAGTTGCCACCTCAAGACCCGCACAAATGCACCTCCCTGTCTCGAGGAGAAAACAGACACAGGATGGTAAGAGATAAACCAACAGTGGGACTATGGGTGAAGCAAGACCCCCGTACCCTCTACCCTGGTGAGCATAATTCGAGGGGGGGTGCTTGTGCCCCCAACCCCGCTCCCCCAACAGTCCACATCATCCACAGACACGCTGCCACCCCCGCCATAGAAGAGACAACTGAAAATAAAGGAACTTGAAGCTCCTTCGCAAGTTTAGCCCCAGCCCCGCTGCTAAGGCCTCCAGAGGAGGGGTGGAAAGAGCTCGAGTCCACTCACAGACCCGAGGTTTCTCTCACAACCACAAGTAGGCAGCCGGATGGGTTTTCAAGGGCTTTAAGTGCCCCATGTGTCCAAACCTCGTATACTGGGCACACAAGAAAACAAGTAGTGGGGGAGGGACAATATTTTAATAACAATTGCACTAATAATTGCATTAACACCTAATACAAGCTGTAAGTATCAAGTGTATAGAAACTTGGAAGAAACTTATAAAATCTAGAAGAGTTGGGAAAATCTCAGTAGAAAAAATAGAACCTTGTCTGGACTTTAAAGGGTATGATTTGCAAAGTTCACGGGGACATTACATGAAGTCAGATAATATTAATGGTTGAATCACTAAAGTACAGCGAGAACATCACACCCACGTGGCGAGCCAGCCCCGCTGGGACAGAGGGGTGTCCGAGAGGTGGGAAGCTGGGCACGGAGCAGGGACCACCCACGCGGTGACTGGACGCTGTCAGCCTTAAATAACAAGACTCAGAAATTACCATGAAGTATAGAGTTTATCTGAACACAAAGCTTGAGGACGGCTACGTGGAAATACCAAGGCCAAAAGAACAGGGCCAGCGTTGCCAAAGCGGAGAAGTTAGGGTTTCGCTCACACAGAGCTTTAAGCAGGATCACATTTTCCACACAAGACTAGCGCATCCGCCACAGTGATTTGATTGGCTACAGATTGCTACATTCCAGGGAAGATTACTTTATTACTCCACGAGGAGGGGCAGTGATCTAAGGGGGTCTTATCTCTGGCGCCGTTTGGTCTTAATTATTTACAGGGAAAAAAAAGACAGAAGTTGCAGCTGCACGCTGTGTGACTCGGGTTGCACAGCCACATTCCTCTTAAGGCTCCAGATAATCTAAACTTCCAACAGCTTTAAGTTCGAATTATTTACTTTCACAAAGCCAGGAAGCAAGACTTGACCTTCATGTGGAGATGAGACTTCTGATGAGCACTGAACGACTAGTGCGACCCACGCACGATGCAGAAGGCCAAGCGAGGCGGCGCCTGTTCTTGTGCTCAGCTGGGCTGACAGTTCCTGCATGTTCCTGACCTGCAGGCATCTGTGGCGTGCATGGGCAGCACCTGGGCTCCCAGCTCCTTCCTGACCCTTCCCCAGCTTCTCCCCAGAGTTTAGCCCAGAACAAAGGAGCCTAGTACTTGACCAGGGAAGTGGGTGGCCCAAGGCATGGAGACTGGTACAGTGTCCCGATGGTCCCAGGTCCCAATCCAGTCTGTCCCTGCATTCCCCACTCCACACCCACGACCCCTTTCTGACAGCCTGTGCTGTGGGTTTCAGGCTCGAGCACCTAAAACAGAAACAACAGCCTCCCATAGATGTAACCAGCTCCTCCTAATTGAGGTCAAACTCATTACAATCTTTTTTTTTATGTCTGCTAGGGGTTGTTTCTCTCATTGAACCTGTCTGCTGAGGCGTCAAAGGAGTTCTCAAATTGTGTATATGTAATCATCAATTGCGTATTTGATTTTAAAAATGCAGATTTTCGGCCAGCTGAGGTGGCTCACACCTATAATCCTAGCACTTTTGGAGGCCAAGGCGGGAGGATCGCTTGAGGTCAGGAGTTCGAGACCAGCCTGAGCAAGAGTGAGACCCCATCTTTACAAAAATAGAAAACCTAGCCAGGCGTGGTGGCACATGCCTGTAGTCCCAGCTAATCGGGAGGCTGAGGCAGGAGGATCAGAGAATCACTTGAGCCCAGGAGTTTGAGGTTGCACTGAGCTATGATGACACCACTATACTCTAGCCTGGGCTACAGAGCGAGACCCTGTCTCAAAAAAAAACAAAAAAAAAACGCAGATTTTCACGTCCTAGCCCGGACACCGGGAAAATAGATCTAGGGTGGGCCCAACAGTTAGTTGTGAACAGGTCCCCTACGTAATTCTGATACAGGCGACCTACCAGTTACACCTCGAAAATCACAACTACAAGGGATGGGAGGCTAGAGTCAGAAGGCATGTTACTATACATATGCTCTGGCCACGAAAGGCTCACCCAGGTAACAGGTATGGAAAGGCAGGAAGAAGAAAACTACCAGGGCAATAATTGAGACATATTGGTAATGAGACCATTTTCCTACTGAATTGTCTATATTCCTCTCAGGCAGGCTGCAAAGGCACCGTGCCCAGGACAGGACGGAGGCACCAGTAACCCTGACCCTCCCACGTCGGAGCAGCCTCGGAGGGCAGGCGGCAGTAAGTCCCTGTGCCATCTGCCTGACGATGAAGGAAAACAAGCACCTGCACGCATCCAAATCCAGTGTACACACGGAGCCACAGCTAAGTGAAAGAGCACTTTTCCCTCAACAGTTTCTAATATTCAGAGACCTTTTCAATGCCCTTGCAGGTGGGGATGTAAATCTGATGTATGAAGGGAAGTCTCTGCAGAATGGCAGCGTTCTAATCAGAACCTTGAAGGCTAACTGCAAACGCGAATTACACTTTATCCAAGTATTACTGTTTTCTTTATCAAGGCTAAAAGGCTGCCTTTTTCAGGCAAGGAATGAGGGTGACTGATCTATAAAAGCCACACAAATAATTGGGGCCGAGCGAGCTTCAGGACCCAGGCGAGTGTGCTCGGGGCCAGGTGGCACTGGCTACAGAACCGAGACCACATCGGTCCACAGCAATGCTAGGCTGGAATAATTTTAGCTGAGGGTGAGGAAAGGACATCATGAAATACCAATTATGTGCCAGCAATCATTACTCAATTTGTAGAACTTCCCTAGAAAGCTTGGGACCTGAGAACCTTATAGAAAGTTCTGGACACACAAATTCATATAATTTAAAATAGCAAAAACTTGAATCCCCAATGAGATATCCTCAAGAATATACCTAGTTTATACAAAGATGAAAAATGTACATTTTGAATTGGATAAGAGTCTACAATTTTTAGTTAGGACATGGTGATAATTTTAGGTATCATTTGACCAGGTTAAGGGATACCAAAGTAGCCATTAAAGCATTGTTCCCGGGTGTGTCTGTGAGGGTTTCTCCAGAGACGAGCCTCAAAGTTGGTGGACTCAGTGGGCACCACCTAGTAAGATGGGCCCAGATGGAGCAAAAAGGCCAAGGAAAGAGGACCGGCACCCTGCTGCTGCCCTCAGAGGTCACAGCTCCACGTTCTCCAGCTCCCGGAGACCTGACGGGCACCACCCTCGTTCTCAGGCCTTGGGTCTTGGACTGACTTCTCGGCCTTCATCGCCGAGTGGCCAATTTCCCATGAATCCCTTCTCATCGCCTCTCCATGAAGCCTGTGAGCCCTGTCTCTGGAGAAGCCCAGCACGGACACTGTAAGAGAAACAGGAACATAGTCCTACCACTGTCCCAGTGCCTGTGACAGCGTCTAACACGTTTGTAGAGTGAATTTTTAAATGTGTATCTACTAGGAATTTTTGATAATCTGAATTCAATTCTTTTTAACAAGAGGCAAAATAAACAAAAGTGGTTCCATTACACCACAGGTTGTTCTGCTAGGAAGCAAATCATAGCTCCTAGGTTACGTGTAATCTGACCTGTTCAACACCAAGAAAATTACTCAAATATTATAATGGAATTAAAATGTATTTAATAATTCTAAAACAAAAATTTTTTAAAATGTAGGCCTCCATTTTAACATTACTAAAGTGCTTATAAAAATTAACCCAGATTTCTGCCTAAAGCCTATGTAAAGGGCTATTTCCTTTTATAATTTTATTTTGAAGATTTTTTTTCCAAAACAGCTCTTCCAGACTGCTTGTTTAACTGTCCAGAGAATGAAAAATCTTTAACATATTTCATTTATATCCACCAAAGTTTTAATAAAACCCTGGTAAACACTGCCCCATCTGGGTGGGTGAAAGGTCCCTCAGGCAAGCTGGTGGGGTGAGTAAGTTTGCCAAAAAGGTCACCTTTTCCAGATAAATTCCTTGCTCCTAAGTGTAAGGAAAAACTAACATGACCCATTTTTCACCCTCAAATACAAAAACACCTCTGAAAGAAAAGTGGGAAGAATAAGGAAAATGAAAAGAAGTCTGACATCCTAGACCTGTCTTGCTGAGAGAAGACACATTATAACAAAATGAGCACTTCAGGTCTTTTTAATAAACAAATTTGTCGGCAGTTCCAAGGTACGACAACAGCCAGTTCTGCACAGAGGCACAGCTCAGTCCTTCCTCAGGGGAACTGTCTCCTCCCGGGTGCCGTCTCTGGTCACGATGCAGATCCTGAGTGCGTCCCCAGTGTACACATCCCTCTCGGCCGCAGAAATGAAGACGTCTTTCACCAGCCGCATGGCTCTATCCAGGGACAGTGGGACGTGCTCCACATTCTGCATGTTCTTAAAACCAACCTGGTGGGGCAGGAAACCCGGTTGAGGAGTCATGTGGCAGGACGTTCAAGTCCCCCCAAATACCCTCAAACACCTGAGGATTCACAGCGAATACATGAACACAAAATTAAAATTAAAACCCTTCCAGACTCGGCTGCATTACACACACCAGAAATCTGACAAGTGCTCCCTGGCAAGCTCCACCTCTTGAGGAACACACGATCTAGAGCTAGAAGACAATGTGCTATGACCAGGAAGCAGCCAGGAGGGCCCCGCACAGCCACCCACGGAGTCTGCTGGGAGAAGGGCTTCAGCAGGGCGGATGCCGAGCAGGTGGGGACAAGCTGCAGCTGAGGCGCAGACACTCAGAGCAGACGTGGGGTGGAGTCAGGAAGAGCACGTCACCTCGGGGAAAGCAGGTCCGGGTGACGGAGACAGGCAGAGGGGTAGCGACACATGTCACCCTTAGAAAAGTGAGCGGGAGGAAGCAGGGAGGCGTGGAGGCAGAAAGGACGACAGCAGGTACAGCCTGTAATTCGGCGACGCAGGTCTGAGTCCAGCCAGCAGGAACGGAAGAGAGGGACAAACTGAAAGTACAGTTGACCCTGGAACAACACGGATTTGAACTTCTCAGGTCCACTGACACACAGATTTTTTTTGATAAATATATAGGAAAACACTTTGGAAATGTGTAACAATTTGAGAAAACTCACAGTGTAGCCTAGAAATATCCAAAAAAATTAAGAAAATGTCAGGTGTGTCATGAATGCATAAAATATACGTACACACTAGTCTATTTTACCATTTACTACCATAAAACATGCACTAATTATAAAAAGTTAAAACTTATCAACACACAGACCGCGCACGGCACCGCTGGCAGTGGAGAGAAACACGAACAAACAGCAGCATCAACTGCGTGAAACGAGCTGCCGCACACCATGTTGCTGTCGCCACTCCACAGCCACCGCGGGTGGCCAGCGCGCACTCAAATGCCACACGATGCTCATTATCTCCGCAAGTCGCTCTCCTCTCCTGTAAACTGCTGCTACAGTGAAAAGCGATCTCTCGCGGTTCTCCCCTACTTTCCACCATGTTTAGTGCAGCACCGTGAACTGTGAGCAGCAGCCTGGAGCCCTGCGCAGTGGCACTAGTGGTACTGGAAGCGCTTCCAAGAACAGAGAGTCACGATCTTACGAGAACAAGTTCACGTGCCTGATGTGTGCTGTGAACTGAGGCCTGCAGCTGCGGATGCTCATTTCAGACAGCTCGTCTTGTAAACAGACGACGTAAACTTACTGTGTCGACAAATACAAGACAGTACCGTAAATACAGCTTCTCTTCCTTATGACTTTTGTAACATTTTCCTTATGATTTTCCTAGTAACACATTTTCTCTTACATCTTATTGTAAGATCCAGTATATAATACGTGTAACACACAACGTATGTGTTAACTGTTTATGCTATTGGTAACGTTTTAAGGAATCAAAAGTTATACATGGATTTTTGCCTGCTCATGGAGTCGGCATCCCAATCCTTTTGTTGTTCGAGGGTCAACTGTACACATGGGCGATAAAATACAAAATCAAGCAACACAAACTGTGAGGGGGAGAAAGGTATTTTCATCACCTTCATCATAAGGTCGTAAAGACGGCAAGAGGAGAACTGAATACACGGACCACTCACTGCAGACATGAGAGACCCACGGTCATGAGGATACAGGAACAGTCAAAGCCATGGGATAGGAGCAGACCCGCCAGACAGCAGGCAGAGCACACACAGCGAGACGGGAAGGTCTGGATGGGCAAGTCGGCGAAACAAACTCGGCAGTGATTCATGAGAAAGCCTTTCTGCCTGCCTCTGCTCCCCCAAGCTATTGAAGAGAACGAGGAGGGAAGCACTGCGTGCGAACACAACCACCTGGACGCGGCGTGATTACCTGGTTATCGAGCAGGGGCTGCAGCATGGCACTTGCTGAGCCTCCGGCCTTGAAGGAGTCTCTCTGGTAGGACCCCACCGGGTCGAAGCTGTACACAGCTCCCTTTCCTTAAAGAAGAAAACAGTCTCTGTGAGGATGGCACCCTGATCATCATCCCAAAACATGGCAAAAATAGACCCCGTCAAACTGACACAAAATGGACCATCGACTTGGCTAAAGTTTCAGCCAACAGTGAGAACAGTCGCTGCGGCAGGGGTGACACCTGGCAGATAGCCTGGCTCCTCGGGGTGCTCCTCACCACCAACTACAGCTTGGAATGTGGTCAGGGGCAGGAGGCGCCACGCCCTGTCACTCAAATACCACGGTCAACCTGCCCACCAGAACCTTTATGCTCCCTTTAAGCCAACGTCACTGATTACCGCCCTGTGTTCCCACAACATGTACGTGGTTTCACGGATGTCCTGGCCAATGCTTTTAAACAAAACTCCTGCTCTGAGTTCTGACCAAACTCCTCACGACATTCCTAGAAAAACAAACTAGTATAGTTCTGTATGGATTTGATAGTCATCAATACTATGAAAACCAACATATAATAAAAAAGGGATTTCAGAAAAACACAAATGCCACATACGAAAGAACATCTTTGCCCAAAATGTAACCGGTTGCTTTGTGCTACCAGAATTATAAAGAATCACTACTTTTTTTGGTAAGAAAAACAGGATCTGAATTCACCAATTCTTAACAGAGAACTGTGTGTGGCTGGGCAACTGGGTCTCTTGGACTCTCGTGAATTAAGTATAAATTATGCTTTTTTAAGAGCAGCAGAATCTATCAAAATGTAATAACCCAGTAACAATCTCACTTATGGAACAGAATTTATCCTACAAAAATGTTTACGTAAACACATAAAGCAGTATGAACCCGGAGAACATTTCTGTATTATATAAAAGAGCCAAAAATTACAAGCAACCTAAAATCCATGAGTGGAAAAGTGGCACCCACGCACGGGAAGCGAGGCAGTGTGGAAAGGTACGACGGCAAAGCCGGGAGCCAGTCTGCTCAGGTGCCAACTCCCACCTCCCCACACTAACTGTGAGGCCCGATGAGGTTGCTTTCTTCAGTTGTGAAATAAGAATAATACATAGGCCGGGCGCGGTGGCTCACGCCTGTAATCCTAGCACTCTGGGAGGCCGAGGCAGGCAGATTGTTTGAGCTCAGGAGTTTGAAATCAGCCTGAGCAAGAGCGAGACCCCATCTCTACTAAAAATAGAAAAAAATTAATCAGACAACTAAAAATATATAGAAAAAATTAGCCAGGCATGGTGGCGCATGCCTGTAGTCCCAGCTACTCGGGAGGCTGAGGCAGGAGGATCGCTTGAGCCTGGGAGTTTGAGGTTGCTGTGAGCTAGGCTGACAGCACGGCACTCTAGCCCAGACAAAATAGTGAGACTCTGTCTCAAAAAAAAAAAAAAAAAAAAGAATAATATATAATACCATCAACTCAGAGGGTTACAAAGTGATAAGTTAACTTGAATAAAATAATTTCTGATACACCGAGCGTGTTCCTTGTATATTAGATGTGCACATTACTACTGTTTGGTACCCTAGGAAGAGGAAGACGTATATATACGTGGGGATTTGGGGACACGTCCACAAAACAAAGTAAAATGAAGAGAGTGCTGTAATATGTACAGTACAACCCAAGTTTTGTTTAAAAGCCTAAGAAAACTGTATATATGTTTGTATTAACATAAGCACAAAAAAAGTACGGGGGCCAGGCATGGTGGCTCACGCCTGTAATCACAGCACTTTGGGAGGCTGAGGATGGAGGATCGCTTGAGGCCAGGAGTTTGAGACCAGCCTGGAAAACATAACAAGACTCTGTCTCCACAAAAAAGTCTGCAATGATAAATAGCAAAAACTATAGTTCGTTATCTTTGAGTGTGGGATTGCGGGCAAGAAAAGAAGGGAATCATTTCGTATATTTCTGTATTATTTGAGTTTATTACATGTAACTTTGCAATTTTTAAAAAGGCCTTTTAAAAATAACTGTGTTCTGGATGTGAAAAATCATGAATCATTTACAAGGTATGACTTAAAAATGATATAACTTATCTAAGGAAAGAATATACATATAACCGATTCTGAAAGCACATTTATATGCCAGAACTGAAACAATCCCATAGTTTCCCTGGGAGATGTGAGATAGGGACAGTCTCCCTGCTATCCATGGACAACTGCCTCTGTTAGCTTTGTGTCTTTCTTCCACTGCAGAATCATGCAGATTGAATTCTCTGCTGAAGAAGGTAGCATCTGAGGTCACCTAAGAAAATCTGGACAAGTATTTCTGCTGGAGGCAAGCTTGGGACAAGAAACGAGATCACTGTGGGCAGTCCACTAGCCTCAACACACACAGACAGAAAGGCACGTGAGGGGTAAAGGAACCAGCGTAGCTCTCATGAGGCTGACAGGCCACAAGTAAAATAAGCCCCAAAGGCTCTACCCAAGAGTAGAACCAATCTTAGAAAATCACACACAACAAAGAGTGGGATATGTTCCAAGAACAGAGTTTCAAAGACCTTCTAGAAAGAGCATGAGACACACTTGTAAAATCAATGTGGAATGGCGTAAGTCTTGACTATAAATTGTTTTTCCTCATCAAAATAAATTCCAAAAAGCCTAATGATTTCAACATAAAAGATAAAATAAAATGAGACAAGCCTTGTAAAGAAACACAAGCAAGCTTTGGATGGGGAAGCCTTTTCAAACAAGGTAAAAAACTCAATGCTGTAAAGAAAAGATTGACAGATTTGACTAAATGACACTCAGAAACTTCTGTATAGCAAAAGACATCCCCCAAAAGAGGCAAAGAGCAGTTCTGGGGGACATCTACATACTCATGACAGAGGGCTGACACATCTGAATGTAGTTCTTGAAAATCAGTTAGAAAAAACTAAACTACAAATAAGCAAAAGTTGATTATATGGGTCAGTTTCTAAAGAAGAAATGAAAAAAGTCAGTAAGTGTACGAAAAGGTGCCCCCCCAAACATACATACATAAATTAAAACAATGAAATATTCAATGGGCAAAGGTATGTTTACAATGTTAACTCTGACACTGGGAAGGTTACGTAATAAAAGAGGCACTCGTGCCCCCTGCTGGTAGAGTGTATTGGTACACATCTCTGAAGGACAAGCAAATAATAATGAACAAAATGCAAAACAAAAAAAAAGTCCTCTGACCCAATAATTCAACGACTAGGAATTTATTCCAGGAAGATAAGCATAATTGGAGAAGTACACAAAATGTATATACAAGGAAGTTCAACATATTATTTACATTAAGAAAACTGGAAACAACCTAAATTAATGCCCTTTAGAGGATTATGGTACAGTGACATACTGTCTAAATCAGCTATTAAAAATCCTTATGGGCTGGGTGCCGTGACTCATGCCCGTAGTACCAGCACTTTGGGAGGCTGAGGTGGGAGGATTGCCTGAAGGCCAGAGTTCGACACCAGCCTGGGCAACATAGTGAGATCCCATCTCTAAAAAAATAAAATAAAAACATCAGCTGGACGTGGTGGTGCACACCTGTAGTCCCAGCTGCTTGGGAGATTGAGGCACAAGGACAGCTTGAGCCCAGGAGTTCGAGGCCGCAGTGAGCTACGATCGTGTCACTGCACTCCAGCCTGGGCAAGGTAGTCAGACCCTGTCTGTTTAAAAAAAAAAAATCATTATGCATATAGCTTGAAATTATCTCTATGACAATACATCCAAAGTACAGTGACAGAAAAACATATACATTCCTGTTGTACTTATATAATAAAACTGCTTGAGTGTGTGTATAAGCATGCACTTGTTTTCACTGCAGAATAACAGACCACCATGACAGCAGCTAGGAGGTTAAAGACACAGAGGTCAGAGCAGACAGAGGCTGATGCTGAGGAACAGCTGTGGCCCCACTGCCCAGGACCCCACCTGCACCGACACAGAAGATAAAACATGGTCTCTCGCGATGTCGGCAGAGGTGCTGGATCTGGCGGGACCAGGCTCAAGAGTGGCAAAGAGGGAATAAAGCACGAGAAACCGGAAGCTGACACACACAGAACAGAGACCTGGGCCTCTTCCTCCTCCTCTGGTTAGAAAGCTGCCAGTCATCCTCCCACAGCCCTACCCATCCCAGGCCAAAGATTTAAGGAACTTTGGTCAGAAGTCAATGCTGGTAGACACAGCTTGCCAACGTACACCCTCACAATCAGATTTTGGTGTGTCACTCTCCAGTATGAATGGACAGGCAAAAATCTACAGAAATTTGAAGGAAGCCTCTAACACAGAAGACAAAGACCAAAAATAAACACACAAAATGAAAAAAGCAATCTGATGGAATGCAGAGAACACAAGAAAACATCAAAGAAAGTACAAAAATATCTAACAAAAATAGGATAATTTTACAAAAATAAAACCAGAAAATAAGAAAAAGTTGTTGGAAGTTAATGATACCAGAAATATAAGCAATCCTTAAAGTACAAAGAGCTAGTTGAGGAGATCTTCATAAAGTGGAATAAAAAGGCAAAGAGGTGGACAGCACGTGGGCAAACGATACGCACAGGGTCAAGGGGTCACGGTCCAGGTGGTTGTGGCGAAGGTGGGGAGGAAGAGGAAGGCGGAGACAGGAGAAAAGGCCCCAGACAAGGAACATCACTATGAAACTGCACAACACTAGGGTAAAGAAAGATCCTTAAAAGCCGAGTCTCAAAAAGGTTTCCTGATACTTTTTTCAGAAATTTCTTCAGAAATAAATGCCTCCCAAATAAGGAAACAAGCTGAGAGGAAAGCATGGGGTCCAGCAATCAGGGAGTCGAAGCCAGGAGCGAGGCAAAGGGAACTCCTGCAGGGATGGCCAAGGGGCACAGGGTGGCGGCTGCGTCAGGCCCAGCGACTGGTCCCTCCTGGAGTAGGGGGCAGAGGAGCCCTCAGATGACCTGCATTCAGAGCATGTAAAGAACTGACGGAAGATTTAAAGAAGTCCAAGCCAATTAGAAAGAGAGTTACTTCCCAGTAAAACAAGACTGTTGTATGAGAAAGGAAACATCATAGTATACTATTATACTTGGCACAACAAAGATCAGTATTTACCTGGTTATAATAAAAACATCGCATACGTATTTCATCAAAGGTGTGATGTGTTATGGGAGGACGCTAATGACGGAGAGGACAGGAAAGGGCTTGAGACCCACCACCCACCAGAACAGAAACCAACAGACACCCCAACAGCAAGCGATGGCATCTCAAAAGACTGCAACATAAATACAGTATTCTGGAAATGGAGGTAAGGAACAGAAAATACAGGTAAAAGAGCTGAAAACTGTCTTGGGCAATGGAAAAAGAAAGCAGCATTGCTTCATTATTCACATAAATTCTTCTATAAAATAAAAATTAAAGAACAATTAAAGCAAACCAGATAAAGATTAGAAAGATGGTTCTAAAGACATCTGAAACTACTAACAAAAGCACTGGAAATTAAAGAACAGGGCTCTGAAGTCAAATGTACCCAAACCCAAACCTCAAATCTTTCCTGGATTAGTCTCTCTGACTCTCAGAAAAACTCAAAGGACATTGTCTGGCCTGCGGAAATTCAGTGGCAGCTATTTCTGTGCTGCTGAAATCCGACTCTGAGACTCGAGCGTTC